TATATTTCCCGTTAGCTCTACAAGTCTTATATAAATCTGGGTACTTAAGTGTATGGTGCATACAGCTCGGTGTAATTTGCATTTAGCATTTCTCCCCCACAACAATTCCCTAATACACAAGTTGAGTACTGAGGCAGAAGCAAAAAAATGAAATAAGCAAGGCATGTGACACCATTATGTGATTATTTACGTAATTCGCTGCCTTTTCTCATTCACTCAATTTGAGGAACAATGAAAAATGTATAAGTCACAAATTCTGCGCATTTCTCAAATGTGTCTTTGTTAGTAAATATTTTTATACAGCATAAAGGTGTAAGCATAAAAAAGAGAGCTTCTCGGTGAGATTGTGAGTAAATTCAAACCGTAAAGGAGATAAGGGTAGAAGTTAGACTATAATGTAATATTGAAAACGTTTGACTTGGCTTTCTTATTCAGTTATTCGCTCTGCAATTTTCTCATCTTCCTCTCTTCCAATGAGATGCAAATATATGTAAAATGTACAAAAATACATGGGGGAAAGGGAGTGATGGGAAGAGCGGATTAAAATAACGATAAGGGAGAGCGCTGCAGGAAATAGGAAAAAAAATTAACGAGTTCCACTCCATCGAAGAGTAGTCAAAATACGAAAGAACCGATCGAAAATGCAAAATATCCCAAATTTTCATCTCTATTTAAATTGAAATTTTGAAGACCTGTAACATGATTTTCTATAAACAGAAAAATACTAATTTTTAATATAATGATGCTGGACATTCATATTTCCAGAAGTGTTTCTCTTTGTTATTGTTGTTTAGGAAAACTGAATTGTATATCGGAAGATGTTTTTGAGAATAAAAGATGGTTAGGGCTCGGCCATAACGAAAGGTTTATTTGAAAGGATAAATAACAATAAAGGACAAATTAAGGATAACAATAAAGGAAAATTAAGGAATTCCGTTGACTGCGTCACGTACCCATTTAACGGCGTCCTCATTTGAGGGGATCATCTTCTCTCACTCTCCCTTCTGTCACACATTTATCCCACCGTTCTGGTTAGGATATGGATGTTGGCAGCAAACGGAGAGAGGAGGAACACTGTAGGGGTGTTGGAATGCTTCTCACTCGCACAATTTCCTCCTAAATTCGCCCCAAAATAGAGTGGCGTCATAAAAAGGAGGAAAACCACCTGGTAATTCGCTAATTCGCGATTTCATTAATTTTCCACCCCCTTCGCGCAGCTAAAATGATCTCTTTTCCCAGGAAAGCACGCACATTTCCAAGTGCTGACTGTGAAGGTGCGTAAATTACAGATCAATTTACTTTATACTGTTGGAAGGGAGGCTTTTTTCTCTCTCAAGTATTTCCTACGTAATGTCTCGTTAGGAAATAGTTTTAGATAATTTTGATAATATTAGAATAATCCCCTTAATTGCCACTGCCAAAGGGAAGTTGCAAATCTCTTTAAAAGATTGTCTATGAATGAGAAACAGAAAAGGGTAGCAAAATATCTAACCAAGTTTTTCCGATTCTCACAACTAAGTGAATTAGAATACATTTTCATGCTAAATCGCAATTTGCCTGTTTAATATCCGAAGTAGGCTTCACAGCAGAACAAGTGCCATTTTCTCTCTCTAGTTGACGTTGAGATTGTTCAATAATTCTTCTAATAACTGGGCAGATTCCTTTCAAAGAGGCTTATCTCAAAATCCCTTTAAGTCGTAGCAGTATGCATATTTAAACATTAAGTGTGCATGTACTAATATTCATAAGTTATCCGAAAATGTATATAATAATCCCGGTATATTCTTTTGCCCTTTGACCGTGTCGACAGTGTTAAAACTGCCCAAACGACCGCATTTCGGCAGGCTGTGAGCTAATTTTCCACCACATAGTGAGCTTATATGTTGTATATATGTATGTCACCACCCTCCGAGGTTGACGAGTCCGAAAAGTATATCCACGTAGAAAGTGGTTGTTGAAAAAAAAGGGGATAATGTCATGAACATACACCACAAATTCTGTATAGCATTCTGCCGCAAGATTTAAGAGGGTTGTGTGGGTTTAATGAAAACGGACTTGATAATTTTTTACCCTCTGTCTTGGGATCATTAGACCGAGGTGAGTATGACAGACATTGAGGTGACTCAATTTTTTCTACGCCCTTTATTCATCATTTCGCCGCCACTCTTTGTACACATGCACGAATGTTCATGAATATATTTCCAGAGAATTTATGCAAGAAGATTTATGGAAGCCATAAGAGATTTATGGTATTTGCATCATGCACTTTCAATCCATCTATAGCTGCTTTTCCTACTCTGTTCCTCACTATATACTTTTTGTTTGCTCACGATTTCAAAGGATAATATCCTTTGAATAATATCTGTCGATACTTTTTCAATTTCAATTTTTAAAGCCACCAAAATGTCACGTCACTCTCACTCCCCTCTCAAGTGCCTATTATTTTTCACATTCTTAATTGGATTTTGCTCAAATGCTTTGGTCAAATGTCTGAGATAAAGGAAAATTGCGGGAAATGTGCGAGTGTCTAAATGGAAAATTACTTTCTGACATTTACTGGCAGAGACTGTGGAACTGAGTAACCCTTTCAGTGTTCAGCATTCCAGCCCCTAAGCAAAATGGGGTGGCGGCATAGCGTAAATATGTTTGGGGAAGTTGTAATTATAATCTAATTATAGTCATAGCTATTGTTGGTCGTTATCATTGTGGCACGTACAACAAATGGTTTATGTGCAGAAAAAAAAACTCAGCATTACATAATAAGCAATGAATAAAAATGAACTTCCTCAAGTTTCCAGGTCTAGAATATTTGCAGGGTTTCTTGAAATAAATATCTTAGCTATACATATACGCACGTATGCTCCCATTGCATGTGTGATACTTATAGTATTTTTTAACTAAAAATTCTAATAATGTAATTGTTAGCCACCTACTTAATTAGGACCTTCTCTGAACGTGAAGGTGGCTTCGTGTGTCTAGCAGGTCGAAAGGAGGACTTACATTATCTACGGGGAGAATTAGTGTAAAAATTCTATTGTGTGGCATTAAATTTGTGATGAGTAATTGTCACCAATTAGTCAGTGACTGTCGTCTAACACGTTAAAGAGAGAGAGGGAGCATGACGGAAGGGGAATGCAGACACACACAGGGTAGCGTGATGGTGAAGGAGGAAAAAAGGGCGGGAAACACACCCTTCACATTTGTATGTGAACCATTTAGTCCACCCCCGTCCTCTGGAGGCACATAAATACGTTCCTGTGGCACATCTTTCCCGCCAGCTTTTAAATATGATTCATACGCGGAATGAATGGCATTTTGTTTCCATTTAATTTTGGGGTTTCTCATACAACAAGACAGACAACGATGGGTACTCTCCGCTCATGTCGGTGGATGAGATTCAGCAGGGGGTGGCGAATGTTCGGAAGAAATGGCTTTGCAGATCATTTGTCAATGTAGACCCGTCGAAAAATCATTAAATCATCCAAACGCCACTGAGTCGGGGGTGAATTTGAATTAAACTGCGATTACTTCAAATGGATGGAGGATGATGGAAGAGCCGGCATCGATAACCCCTCAAAAAAGTACCCCAACACATCGCTTCATCGAGCCACCCACCATTTTCCATTTGCCCGGGATTCTCTCGTACAGAGGAGAGGCTCTACCGAAAAATTACTCAAAAGAAATCCTCTCGAGAGGAAAATTTCTCTCTGTATTCCTTCACTCCGCATGCCATACGGAAAATCCACCCAGTTATACACGTAGAACTTAATCACAACATCAAACTTCTCCATTTTATCCCCTTGATACTCCCTATTTTTGTTGTTTCTTTTTTGCTGGCAAAATTGCGCTGTTTTATCTCACACTCTCCTGCATGCCTTTCCTGGGAATACATCAGCATCATAACCCTCTTTGCAATCTACCGCGAAGACAATGAGTATGTGTGGTGGGAAAAACACATAGAACTTTCTGCCTACCCAGTGGCTCCGTTTTTTCCTCGATGGTAAAAATAGGATTTGATTAAAATCGTGTTATATGTATGTGTATACAAGTACGTATGGATGTGTATGAAAGGAAAAATCTCATAATATTTTCAATCTCTTCAAGAAAAGTATGAGGAGTTTGGGTGGTGATTTTTTCCACCTCTTATACGTGAGTCGTTCGACATGTTCTCTAGTGTTGAGAAAGCCTGGGAGAAAGCTTACAATGCTTTTATACTCCAATAACATGGGTTTACAAATATTAATCATTGAACAAAAATAAAGCGTAAAACGTTTACTTTTCCTCGTAAAAGAGCGAAAAATGTTCATTATTTGGCAGGTGTAAATAGATAGAATTTCATATAATATAAAATATACAAAATTACGTAATGCAAGTGGCAAATAGGGATATGCATAAGCCTATAACTTTGCTTCAATTTGGAACCCAATTTTTGCTGATTTTTACGCCAAATTGCATGTAAACACGACATAATTGGGCCAATTTGGAAAAGTGAGGTAGTTTTTAAAAAGCTGTCAGCATTTCCATCAATTATCCCAAAGTAGCTCCATTTATTGGAAGGACGATCGAGAGGAGCAATAAGTTGATCTAAAACTTGAACTTTGGCAAATACTTTTTTCCACTGCCATTTGTAGTGCCACAGAACATAAGAGTTGACCCCAACCGAGTGTTTTTCTCGGTTTTTTTTTTTACTTTTCTCCACACAAGTCGAGGAAATTGAAAATGTGAAAAAATATTTCTACTTCTGGTCACAATGGTGCTTCGTCATTCTGAGTTGTGGAAAAATATACTTTTGGTTTTAACTAGCAGAACTGAATGGAGACATCACAAACACTTTTTATCAATAACACTATTTTTCACGAAAAATGTCACCCATGCGGTGATGGGGAAATTCACAATAACAAGGCAATACTCAAGCGTCGTCCAATATCGCAAGAATATCAATTTGGAATTCCATGAAATGTGGAGTGAGTGTCAAAATAGTTTAGATTAAATGTTCTTACCAAGAGGTCTCGGCGGCAGAGATAATCTGGAAATAAATGGAGAAGAGAAATAAAAATTGCTGATATGTGTATTTTATCACAATTTTTCATGTTAATTCGAATGGTAGCTTCTCGTGAGAGATCAATGTCTCCCCAAGTGGTGGCATTGGGAGTCAAAGCAACGGAAGTACCTAATGAGATGTCAGGAGTTCTTGTATCTCGCTCTGCCACTCATCATCGCGTCTTTAAGAGATTTGTGCAATAAAATTTAAATTGGGAATTATTTCGAGTGAAATGTTAAAAATGCGTGACTAAATGATGCTACACTCTCTCGGGTATTTATTGGATGGCTGTAAAAGCCTTGATTGGTTCCCATCAAGGTCGATCCAATTGCTAATTTAATTAATTAAATTGTTTCCACCAGATTCCTCACCAGCGCGTCAACCGGCTTTCAGAATCTGCCGAGAGCTAATCGAGATGGGGATTAGTGGCGAAAATTCCTCAGACACATTCATAGTCCGCACCATGCAAACTCTCCTCGTCACATGCTTCAAATTTCGCACTTTGTGGAGTGAATTGAGTTTCCTCGCGTGAATGTTATTTTCACTTTTCTCTCCTCATGTCGGAAATTGTGCGGATTCTTTTTTATGCATCGCAACATCGACAAAGTATAAAGCAGAAGATGTGAAAATGAAAAAGGGGAGAATTTATATATAAAATGAATATTCCACGACGCGAGAGACGAGAGGACGCGTCGCTCTTTAGGAATTGCGTATGGATGCGGGTCTTTGGTGTACAATGACGACGACGGCGACGACTCTAAAAATAATGACACGGAAATTCAAAGGAGAGAAAAAAAGGAAGATTGTTAAGCGCACAAATAAAGAGCAGACAGACAAACATTTGGGAATTCGCACGAGATTGCTAGGGGAGAGTGCTTGAGAGGAGGCAAAAAATGGAGACAGAAATGCAGCCAATGAATATTCCCCAAATGTCTCACGCTCCCAAATTGCAACGTCTCCACCATATGGCCAATATTCCAAATAAGCTTCATTCACTGTTTGGTCCACCAGTGAAATTCCTCCGTGTGAATAAGTAATTTACATGCTATCATTAAAAACGACCATTTTCATATCTGAATCTCTCTTCCGGCGCTCACACGAGGATGGTTAAAAATATAACACGAAATCCAGAGGAATATGCAATGAGCGGAGTAGAAGAAAAATGTGTCTAGTTCGTATTAAATATTTAAATCCATTTGGATAAAAGCCACCGTCAGTGAATGCAAAGTACACAAGACACGAACTTTAACCTATTTTGCGGTATGCGTCGTGACGCTTTGGAGAAAATATAATTTGATAGAATTGGGTACACCACATTTTCTTGTCACATACACTTATTCGCCAGCCAGAAGATGATAATATAGAATGCAGTATGTCTACCTTTAATCCGCATTCTGATTCAGCAAGACAGAGAGCGTGTCTCTTTCAGACCAAGCTCAAGGGTAATAGTTTTCTTGTGCAATTTCTGTTGTAATTGACACTCAAATGACGAAATCGATGATGGCGTGAATTGGACAATTCTCAAGAATCATCATTGACACACCGAAAGTAAATTCTATCACTGCTGTACTCATACAAGCTGTATATAGCAGAGAAATTCCTCCACATAATCCTAGGTGAAGGAGCTTAGACACAGCAGTGGGTGGGAAGGGTAAGAAAAATAACAAACCACAGAGAATCGATTGAGCGACGTAGAAAATAAGTGTCATTGTCGGATATTTTCCACCCAACAATTCATTCGGAACACTTCTTTGCAGCCCACTTTCCACCCCTCACTCAGGTCGCCCTAATGCTCTCCATCAATCTGCAGAGACCAAATATCCTCAATATTGTTTTGCACTGGCTCCAAAATGAGGGAAGTTGTCGATAGAGAAATTATGATGAGCAAACACAGCACAAAGCTTAGTCCGGAGAAACAATCCCCAAGTCCAGCAAATCCCCCTGAGAAATGAATCACGGTGGAAAGAAAAAGGGTCGCTTCTAGGAGGATGATTTGCGGCATATATAGCAAATATATGTACATTATTGGCGTCGATATGTATGAAAGCACAGCTGATTTATTATTGGGATGGTGAATCAAATATTTTCCATTCACTGCCATGTTTGATTATCTCTTTCTGTGACGGGTAACACTTGTCATAATTTCACATTTTTTCGGTAGAAAATCTGTAGAACGTCAGAAAGAATTAATAGAATTTTTAATAAACGCTCGGAGAACAGTGTTAATAATTTGATTTTCAGTCAACCTCATAAGTGCATTACCATGAAAGTTGCAAAATATTCTGAATTCAACACACAGCCAAAAAGCTCTGTTTTCCACAGTGAAGTATAAAATATATAAAATTACTAAACTCTTTCATGTGGCTTAAAGTACAGAAGGGTGTCAGGAAATTAATATTGTGAAGTCTCATATCTTCAACTGCTTCAGCATTTATTACATTGTCTGCCACTCTTATAAAGAGTCCTCTTGAGCGTGTGTCTGCCAGAGTGGGAAAGTTGATGATGGCATTTTCCGCTGTACAGGCTGTACATACGCATGTATGTATGTCTGTACATAAGTCTTGAAATATGCTTTTTCTGCAATTTACAAAACAAATATGTCGAAACGTGGGAACAATAGACACCCATCGCTTCACAGAATCGTCGGCGTCGTGTCCTTTTGAGTCACTCGGCATCGCAGGATGAGGGCGTCGAGTTTGGAAAAAGGGGCGCCCCCGCACCTTGCTGTCTATGCTATTATTCTGTCGCCAAAGAGGATATGAGTCAGCCAAAGTGAATGAATCACTGTAGAAGAAAACAATAAATTTCCGAGGGGCTGAATTCACATTACAACTTTTCATGTGTATATTTTCACCACCCCAATCCGTCTGAAAGTGTATTTGAATACTATACGAATAATTGGGGTAGTTTTTTTTGCTTCTCTCCATGAGTTTCATTATTTTTGCACAATAATGAGTCATGCTCGATTATATTTTTAATGCATTTAATAGCATTTAACTAATTGGGTCAGTTTACTTTAATTCACATCTTTCTATGACACTTTGTAGCATTATTGTTGTGTGAAAAATTTCATGTTATTTCATCCTTTTCCCACTTGTGAACCAATTTTACGTTGTGGGTTGACATTTGTGAAATTCAATTATATTAAATGGCTGTCTTATATAGTAGCTAATTGCTCCTAATTTCCAACATAATTCATAAGATATTATTCTTGTGTATAGCTTAGGTGATATGAATTCTCCGCCAAAGTGTGTAGAACCAGAGAAGAGTGACATTCTTAAGCATACACAATGCCTCTGAAATCGCCCTTCTCTCATTTCGGGGCTTTGTATGAGGTTAATTAGAGCTCAAATAATAATTAGTTGAAGTTAGTCACTTTATTTGCCACTTGTCGTTTCTGGCTCTCGATGCTCGAGATATGCTACAGAAATCGTGTTCGGAGAAGAAAGAGAAGGAGTGGTCATAATATGGTCTCCGAGTCAATTTAATGGGTGGGACAAGATTCGACAGCATTTTCTAGTGAAATGGTTAATTAAAATAATTGAAATTTATACATTTTAATTACTCAGGCCTTTAAGTATTTTCACCCCCAGAAACATGCATTTTGTGACTCTTTCGCTACATGTTAGGCGTTTCCGCCTTTTGTGATAGCGAGGCGAATGACCCTCGATATCATCATCATTATATGCAGCGTGGAAAAAGTTATTTGTTGGGGGCATCGCGTTGCGCTGCACCAGCTCTTACATGCATTGAAAATGCAATTAAAATCCCTTTTTTCAGAGATTCTCAACATGATTTGGAAAAATGTAAAATCTCTCTCGAAAATCAACATTGAGGAGTAAAAGTTAACAGGGCGATAATTAAGGCAATGGAACGATGACACAAATGGTGAATTTGTGAAAAGACGAGAGTCAGTGTTAACACCCTGGCGGCATTAACTCGAGGGTGTAACCACACATGAGGTGGGTGGAACTGGGCTCCACATTAAGTGCTCCACGATCGTCCATTTGGACCCCACTAGCATCGGCAGGAAATAGACATCAGCCACTGAACAGAGATACATTTGATGAGAGGTCATGTGGCTGATTTCTGGGCTACAATTGCTGGAGGGATTAGGTTGTGGCGCGTAGGAGGCAACCATTAATGTATCGGAACTAATTTTCCACTACAAGTTCTTTATCGCTTGATTCATCAAATCATTATGTTTCGCTCGTGAGATGGAGTTATGCTTCTGCTCCTGCGGCAATACCGTCTGCGGCTGGTGGAGTGGAAATGGAAGGGGGATGAACAGAGTGCACTTGACTATCTCTCTGAGAACACTTCTCCAGGCATTGACTTTTAATTGAATAAATTAAACATTTAATAGTCTCTTGTGTGAGAGGGAAAATCAATTTGTCGATTAGTCCTTTACACGTCCATCAGAGCTCTCAAAGTGTCCACAGTGGCCACCCATCTATATTTTTCATGCTGCCCATGTATTCACTGGATTGTGTTCAAGTGAATGGACGGAAATTAAATAAATAATTTCACTTGCCGTCCTCTATTCATATCACCATGTCTGTTGTGGGGAAAATTAGTGCAATTCCACGAAAATGGGGAAACGGTGATGAAAAAACCATGAAATGACATTGGATTGGTGCAGTGGCTGTGAAACTTTTATTCCTGCGAGTGAAATATTACATTTCACACATAATTTTCGTGTTGCCGGAAAAAATGATTGAAGTTTCATTGATGAATTCTCTGTGAAATTTTACACTATCACCCAGTGTTTGTCCTTCGACATGTGCAATTTAGTGATATTTGCCGCTGACCATTAAATTAATACTTTCCACAAAGTGAAATTGACCACCCCAAACTCACTCTGCACTTCACAATAAATGGGCACTCTCGAAGTGCAGCAAGAAAAATGATGCACTTGCCACAGAATATACTTTTCTCAAGAGGATTCATCGCACAATAGAAATGAAAATCCATTTCGCCAAAGC